GCCAAGCACACCCTTCCTACTCAGAAACTGTCCTATCTTGCAGATTCCCCACTGCAACTTATTCCGTAGCTCCCCACATATCTCGTCCATATTGTCACTGCACATGTAAATCACGACTCGGCTTGGTTGATTTGTGGTTCCGTTGTAAGAGACAAGCGAATCAATACCAGGAACATCCATATTTAAAAGTCTCACTCGCCTCAGCTAGCCGCACTATTTACACATACGCAGTTACCATAAGGGCCTACTCGTCCATGTACACACTTTAAAAAAACATGCGATTGCACACCACAAGTGTCCTCCGCAGCACATTCATCACATACGAAGGCGTCGAAAACTCCTGACTACGGACCACAGACACAGAATCGGCATCTCGCAATTAGGCAAAAGGCGCATTCTCGGCTGCCTCTCCGTGTGAACTCTACGGCATGTTCAGGCATGCGAGATCAGAGCAGTCCACCCGTTCGGTGTGTTACGTTGAGAGGCAGGTATTGCGTGTGGCGCACCAAACGGGAGAGGGAGAGAGGAATATGCTGTATTTTTAAAGTAGCTGCTTTGATCAAAACTGGTACTTATAATTCGCATGGACCGTATGCTTGCCCGATTGTTTCCCCACAGAGCACCAGCACGGAAGTGGGAATGAACGCGATCGGCCACAGGGAAGTGTATTCAAAACCAGTACATTTTTTACTGAAAGGCTGCGTGTATTTATAGCATCCCATCCAGGGCCCATTAAAGGGCACCTTGGGCCTTAAATATACAATTTATCTATTTATTTATGTATCTTCTGTCTAATCCGTTTAAAAGAAAGCTCTAGTAGAGCCAACTAACTTCTCGTAGATACGGACCAATCAGACAAGAGCTCTGTGGTCACAACCAAGGCCGGATGCTGTCGAGCGCACATTCGTCACATGTAACGTGGGAGATGCGTGTGCGTGCACTTCTGTGAGCTTGGCTCATCGTGGGAATGGAGACAGTCCCAACAGTATCATCACAATTGCACCGATCTCTGTTTCTCGTCTATTCACTATTTTTTGCGCAGTTATCTCGAAACGTGTCACTCGCATAATATGCTATAACATGCTAGTTTATCTTATAAGTTTCTTAGACAAGGATGAAGTCTCTTCGTACCGAACGATGAAATATGTATGCAAATTATTCTT